ACTAGTAGCCCTATTATAGACTGTTACTGAGTAGGGGCAGCACCCAAATGACACCCTGAACCCGACATTGCAACACCTTCTGCAGCAAAGCGGCTGGCAAGAGGATCCTGGACGACCTCCTCTGCGGCAAGGCCTCCGAAAGCGCTGAACCCCAAAACAAATTCGGCTTCTGGGTTTAGGGTTCAGGGTTCAGGGTTTAGGGTTTAGGGTTCAGGGTTTAGGGTTTAGGGTTTAGGGTTTAAGGGCTCCGCAGGTGTTTAGGCATGCATGTTACCGTTCGTTTCGGTGTTATAAGGCTTATAATGCAATGTCGAAACAGCATGGGGATAAGACCTAGTTATCATGCAAGGGCAGCTACGGGCTGTCGAGCTTCGCAATCTGATGGCCTGGAACAAAAGACCGAAAAACCGAGACAAACACGCAGGGTTTAGGGCCTGTAGGAATGACAGTTCCGGACATCGTCTGGTCCCAACTCTTCTCATGGTATGGATCTGGAATTTTGTCGGCAGTATGGCCGTCATTCTTGATAGTACCGCTGCTAAATACCCTAAACACCAACCACTACCCGTAGGCTCCTTAGTAGCTCCTTTCTGGGATTACCTTGTAGGATTCTACATATGAACCACGAAAAGGAACTACTTAGGAGCCTATGGGTAAACCCTAAATCCAAACCTGTCCTGAACCCCAACCGGCCCGAAACCTGACCCAATGACCAAAAAGAATTGAATTCGCACCAGCAAACCGGGCCCGAACGCCAACCCCAGACCCCCCTGCACTAAACCCTAAACCCCGAAACCCTAAACCCGGAAACCACCCAAAAAAAAAACTAAACTCTGAAACCCAAGCTCTTAAATCGAAGCCGAAACCTCAAGCGAAGGGTGCCTTCCGGTACGGCCTGTTCTTCGACAGCTGCCCTGCAGGAACGGGTTACTATCAGAGGGTTTATTCTGCAATATCACATAATATATATATATATATATATACATATATATATATATATTATGATATAGTATAAATATTATAATAGTGTATAAGGACTTACTATCAATGAGCGGTTACTATTGCCCCGGCTACTGTAAGGTTTCGGGCTACCGGGTGGCTTTGTTCGCATGCTTTCTCCTGAGGCGACGGCTGAGAGGGATTGAACTCTGACCTCTAAGCCCTGTTGACTCCTAAATCCTGCACCCCCTATACGCCTAGGCCCTATACCCCTAAACCCGATACCCCCAAACCCTATACTCCTAAACCCTCAAACCCTAGTCCGCAAGTTCTAAAGCCCTGAACCCCTTGGGCTCAAATTACCCATTCCAGGGTTTAGGCTGGAGGGGGCTCGGGGTCGGGGTCCGAGGGCGCAGCAACGAATATACCCTGAACAAACATCTCAGGGTGTATCAAGGGGTTGTTTTGTTGTTGTTGTTTGTTTTTTTTTTTTTGGGGGGGGGGGGGTTTCGGTCGACTCAGGATGTTAGGGTTGCATTCCCGGAGTCCCTCTAAACCCGAAACTTTAAGAAGCCCGGACCGTAGATGCCGAAACCTACCCCGGTCTCATTTTTGCCGAAGCTGCCCGAAGGCTCATAAGAGCCCTAAACCTTGCCCCAAAGCACAAAACTGCACACTCCAAGCCCTCGTCCCTAACCTTGCCCTTCCCTGGGAAGGAGATTCTACATATGTATGCATACATATATATATGTGTGTGTGTGTACATGTATATGTATATGTATATGTATATGTATATGTATATGTATATGCATATGCATATGCATATGCATATGCATGTGTATGTGTATGTGTATATGTATGTGTATATGCATATGTATATCATCTTGCAAAATCGTTGTTATGGGCAGCGGCCTTGCCGCAAGAGCTGCCAGAGTTGCACATCAACATAAGAGTGGATGTCGCACTCCTCAGCAGCTCAACCACGCTATACAGCCGCGAATGTGGAGGAGTCAAAGTTTTCCGACGCCCGGCGCTGATGCCGCAGGAGATGCGCAGCCGTGGCATAACCAGGCCAGGGCTCAGAGATTTCAGAGATTTCTTGTTTGGATGTGGGAGACCCCATCTGCGAGGTTTCATGTGAACCATCGCGCAAGAAGCCCAAAAATCTTCCGCAAGAAGAACGGCATGGTCAAGGCCATGGGGATCCATGGGGCCTTTTGTTCGCGTTGGTGGGTCAAGTTGGTCGGTTCGGGAATGCGGCGTGAGCCCCCAGCTCAGGCGCGCCAAGACAAGGAGCTGCGTGACAAGCTACGCGCCGAGCAGGACCGTGCAGCTGAATTCTGAAGCGGTGTCACAACGATCGGCAGCGCAGGCTGAAATTGAAGCCGAGCAGGCTCTGGCTCAGTCATGCGCAGACACAGCGTTTGGCCTTTCGCGGGCTTGCTCGCAGAATGCGCAGGCCGCCATGGTGGAGGTTCCCGATGACGTCGTCTTGGACTTACACTGCCTGCAAACAAGCTGTATACATGAAAAGCAAGCGTTGAGGCCTTCGTTGACAGTGAGCTCGAGCTCCCACCTGGGCACTTTACTCAGCGCATTGCTCCAGCCACGATAAATCAAAGACTGATCGTGGGCCAAGCAGGTACTCCATGGCAGAGTCCCTCCCGAAGACCGACCAAGCGAAGGAAGATGTGTGACTGGAAAAGGAGTTAGGTGGACACTGGGAGCACGACAGATACCGGCAGTCGGTGAGCTTGACATTAGGAGTTGGCTCAAACGTCTTCATCCCTGCAAGCCTGTCCGCAGTGTTTTCGGCTCTGATTCGCGGGTGCCCCCTCCCTTGCTCCATTTCCAGCCCATTTTCCAGCAATGCCAGCAGCAGTTGATTCTTGGAGATACAGAAATGATGCTGAGCTCAGCTTGGATGCCAGCGGGAGCCATGCAGAACCTAAGGAGATCCAGTACTGTGGAGGCTGAGGCTACGGCAAGCACAGCAAAGCTGCTATTGCTCTGATTCAAGCTAAGCTGCCTGGCAAGGACTGTCGTCCTGCTCGCTCGTTTGTAACACGAGTCAGAATACAGGAAACATATCATCATGATGATAGTTCAGCAGGAGATCAGCTTCTCGGAGATCAAGGATCCCGGTGTGACTGGGAATTTCGAGATCAAAGTCAACGGCACGTTGGTGCACTCCAAGAAGACGCAGGGTCGGGGGGGGCCTCAGCCGTTGTGGTTTGCAGGGCTTGAGAGACTTCACCAGGTCATGGCTTTCTGCACAACTGCGATGCCTCGCAGCAGGCAGCTGTCCTCGAGACTTGCTTGAACGTCACTGGTAGCGTGGGCACATGCAATGCTGTTTGTGATCGTGACCCAAGGATGCGATCTCCAAAGCAGCGTAGACAGAGACCCGCAGCTCTGTAATAGCTGCCCAGTTAATGTGGCGCCGGTTGCTGCTTTTGAAAGCGTATTGCACGGAAGACTTTCAAGGTTTCACGAAGCTTGTTTGAGTCCAGAGCGGCAACATCCAGAAGCTGGAGTTTCGGCGCATGAACACCGCGCACATGCCTGGGAGTCCTAGGAGGGCCTTGCGATGCATAGCTCCCACGGATGACGGCTAGCACTGCTCTTGGAGCTAGCTCGAAAGTGGATGAATCGCAGCAGAGTCCAGGAGCAGTTTTCAGACTCGCTGTGCTTTAGGCACATGGCGGAGCGTGACGAAAGAAAAGCTGGGCTCTAGGCTTGGATGCAATCTGCGGAGGCATTAGGGTTGCATTTGCTTTGTGATGTATGTGTTCCAAGCCAGCACAGCTTTGTCACTCCTCCCTGCAGATGCTGCCTTTCATGAGTTCGTGAGACACAAGTCATGCCGCCGGAGCCGATGCAAGACAGGCCACAAACTTAAAACTAGGTGTCACAAGAAGCGGTGAAACCGTGGTGGTAGGCAACACGACACCAGTACAAGTCCACGAAGCACAGAAGGCCAAAGTTCTTAATCGTCGCCTGCAGCCGTAAGACGTAGGCGCATCCATGGCCATGAACTTGCAGCTCTTGAGCATCTGCGCAGCCGTGGCGTGAGCATGGGCTTCCCTCAGAGGACTCAGCCCCAAGAGCCGTGAAAGTTCATTGCCAGTGGGAACACTGCAGGATCCTCCGAATTACGGGGAGGGCAGTCAGAGCAGGGCTGACGCCCAGCTTGGTGTCCGGCACCTATGCAGCTATGGGAGCGGGCGGTGGGCCACTTGTTCAGCCTTGAAGGTCTTACTTCTTCTGGATAGGATGCATCACAACCATGTATGGGGCGCGCGACGCCTAGCTCGCTTGACCTCTGACACCCTTGCTTTAATTTTCACCTTGCACCAGGTGGGCCTTCATCTCCTACACCCCCATCGACGAGTTCTTGTGCGCCATTCCGGGCGAGGCATACGTGAGCTTAGCTCAGAGAGAACCCGCCGGCTTGCACCACTTAGAGTGGAGGTAAACATCTCCAATGGATGGACGGCGGCGCTCTGAGTTTCTTTCCCACGAATGATTGTTAAGTTCTGGCAGTTTGCATTCAGGTCGGATGCGGGAACTGCTCGGACACGCTGATGTTGTGCAATGACCTGAGATATCACCTCGGAGTTCGGTGGACATGGCGTGGGCAACAGAGGTGACAAATCGGACTGCTGGAGACATGCGTCTTGCCTGAAGGGGCTTCAGGTATTTGCCCTTCGGTCTTGGATCTAGGACACTCGCTTCGCAGAAGTTCTCGGTGCAATTCTTCAGGGAACTCATTGCTCTAATTGAGCAGTCTAAGCCTGCTCGCGGATGCCAGACAATTTCTTAGATGTTGGTTGGATCTCATTGTGCTACAGGCCTTCAACCTCACCTGGCAGTTGGACGCAGCGGTAGACGTCTGAGCAAGTTTCGCAGCCCAGTGTCTTTCTTTGCATTCGCCCGCCCAAGCCTCGAATATTTGCGAGACGCCAAATGGCGCCTTCTACGGGGACTTCCAAGAGGCAGCACTTGAAGTCAGAGGGAGTGCAAAGGCTTTTGGGACGTCGGCACGTTCTTGGTGTGAGTGCTTGAATTGCAAGCAGAATTCTATTGAGAGAATTTGTCCCTATTCCTGTTCGCATGTGTGAGTGTGAGAGTGAGTCAAGAGTTGAAACCTGGAGCCTCATCATGTCTCACAACCAAGAGATCTTCAAGAAAAGGGCGCGGGAAGATTAGTACCTCCTCTTGGCTGTGTGGAAGACGACGAAGAAGTCAGAGTGAGAGTGCGAGCGAGGGTGAGAGTGAGAGAGGGAGGGGAGGGGAGGCTGTCTGGCTTGGGAAGTAGGAGCCCTGGGGACTGCCGAGCCTGTCCGATCGACCAGGCGGCTCTGGATTCGACCTGCAACTCCCTTGTTCTTACAGCCGACTCGCCAGTGCCCGCCTCGGTGAATCCATTTTAGCAGGATGACTGGATTTAAAGAAGGCTAGTCAACAACCACCCTAGATTCATGAAAACCCAGTCCGAGCAAGGCTTTAAGATCTTGGCATGGGCGTTGCATGCGCTTCGAAAGTGAGGCTTCCATGTTGACGAGCATCGAAGATAGGAGGACGCCCCCATGTGTCAGTTAGTTCCCCATGCAGCGGAGATTGCCTGCAGGGCGAACCCCTCAAGGCCACAAGTTGGCCAAGCCTGCGAGACTTGGATGCAGAAGATAGGTCTCTTGTGAGAGGGGGGTGTTCCCTGCAACGCACGTTTCTCTCTCTGAAGGTCTCTTGGAGTTGCAGAGTCTTGGTGCGGGCCGACACCCCAGCTGAAGCCGCCTGTCATGCTCCCAGAAACATGAAGAGCTAACGCCGCTGGTCGTTGAGAGGCCACGATGAGAAGTCTCGGTACACATCTGACAGGCGGAACCTTCCCACATCTACTGATGCACATTGCTTGTCGGTCTGACATTAGGTAAGCCAGTAAGCCCTATAATTGACACGGAAGCACATCTCGCCAGGTCCCGGCATTTGCACCAATGATGCCCCAAGCGTCAAAGAACCTTGGTTCGCTGCGGTCTTACACACGGACGCACGAACTGCTCTGCGACACCTTCGTGCTTTTGTTTTGGATCCGCTCCGTTTCGGAGAAAATGCGCTTTGGCGCTTTTCAACCGGCCCAGGCCACGGAGTGCAGCTGTGACGACATGCTCATCACCATGGCGCAGGCCGTGGTGGCCGTCATGCGCCGTCTGTAGACGAAAGGTGTGATCTGTGGGACCCTGCAGGCGACATCCTTTCGATCGCTCTGTGGCGCCATGTCGACAGGCTTCTTTTTTGCATAAAGCTTCCAGTTCCGTGTCTCTCTGCAAAGAGCACCACGCACACACGCACGTTGGCTTGACACTTTGGCAATCCCCGGCCCCGGCCGATATATCCTTGGGGCAGGTTTGAGATCGGCTGTCTTTGAGCGGCACCTGTCCAAGAAGGACCAGTGCTACCAAGGCCGAAACCCCACAAGTGAACCTCGGTCTTGAGAGCCTGCAAAAGCCCCCCCTCCCCCCGCTTGCAGTTGCAGCGTTCTGTCTCCGTGTCTCAATGCAGGCAACATGGCGGCCACTCTGCCTGCAAAGCTGAGTGCGGCAGTGGTTTCCGGCTTCTTTCGTTGCAACACGTTGGAAGTGTCTGAGCGAAGGCATCTGCTGCAATCAACCCGATTGAGTACAGCACTGCCCTCGTTTACCTGCGCCGGCGGGTATGGAATTGGTTTCCAGATAATCCGTGGGTCAGTGCCCGAGGCGAGTTTGCGAATGACATCAACTGTGAGTCGCTCTTCGAAAACACTGGATCAACACTGGCATGGTTGCCACCCGAGTTCTTAGGCTTGGATCGCCAAAGACCTGACTTCTTTCTCGGCCTCTCTGCGACCTGAGGTTTAGTGCCAAGAACTACTTGTTGGCCAATCTGCCTGACCCGACCAGTTACCCGATTGCGTGCCCTCCCTAGTCCTGGCACATGCCAGCACGTCGAGAGTATCCTTTCTCTGAGCGCTCTGCTCCGCATCAGTGTCCCCGATTCAGGCCCTACTGTAGAAAAGTGGGGTAGCTCAGCTCCTGCTGTAAAGTGTATACCACGGTCCATTATTCAATCATGCCGCCACGAGCCTGAGGTCATGTGCTTTGCATTCGTCGACACACTCGCGAATGCAGATGCTTAGACCAATGAGCCGAACGGTTGCCATGTCCCACACTGCCCCGAGATCTCAGGAGTGCAACTTCACCACGAATGCTCAGTTGACGGATGTTTTGACAGCGACGTTGATTTCTGAGATTGCCATCCACTTAATTAAGAGTTGCAGCTCGAAAGCTCTTTCCTCAAGCCTGAAGTGGTGCTGCTAACAGCTCTTCAGGCAACCGAATGCCAGAAACGCGGCTGCATTCGTTGTTCACTCGTGTTTTCTTGACCACCGACTGGCCTGACTCACCGCTCACCGCCTGACGTCTCTTGCGGTGATCCCAGGGCGGAGAATCTAGCACTCACGCCGCTGTCGATGTGCGCTCTGAGTTCCTTCAATGATCCCGCCTCAGCCACGTGAGCTTCTGCGGCTGCTTGGAGATCTGATATGTCTCTGCCAGGAGTCCTCTTATTGTGAAGCACAGTTCCCGGGCCGCAGGCCCGAAATTGCGATGAAGGTATGGCCCACTCTGCAGCTGAGCAGCTGAGCCCCAACCGTAGGTTGGACGATGAGATCTCCGAGTCTCCTTGGAGCTTCTTGCAAGGCGTCGAGCCTTTCTCCAAGGCGCGGGGATGTGTGGAAGAGCCTCTAGTCGCCGTGTTTCCGTGCTAGGCGTTGCGGCCAAACATCTCCAGCGACGCTGCTGTTAGCAAGGATTCTGTGCGGGTGATTATCACTGAACCGTTCTGGAGATATGACTGGGGTGCAGGAGACTCGGCCGAAGCCGAAGCCGAAGGTGTTGGGGTCCCCAGCGGACTGGCGCTGCATGGGACACCCGTTTGCTGCGAGTTGAGAGTTGAGGCAACCTGGGAACGCTACTCGGAAGGAGGCCGTGGTGGAATTCGATGGCATGGAGGCAGCTTTGCGTGAAGCTTTCCATGCTCCTTTCGATTATGATCGAATTTCAGGCTCTGGCCTTTGTCGAGGACTTCGCAGACTGTGGAGGCAAGCTGAGAGCCGAATTTTTATCGGACGATGCTGTCAGTCGGGCAGATGCTGGCATGAGGCCTTGATAGCTCATGCAGCTCCGATCGAAGGTGCATTAACTGATTGCGTGAAGCTTTGAACCCCAAGCTCGTCCCTAGCGTCCCGGGTCCCAGCGAGGCTGCAGGTGACACCTGCGCCTGCAACAACAGGCGCCCTCCAGGACTCCTCGGGCTGATGCAGCATTCTCCCTTCTCCAGTCAAACGACCTTTATGTGCAGGGATCAGTTTCAGTGGCCTGTTCAGCCAAAGACTTTGACTGAGGTGAAAGGCATTTTTCGTTTGCCTGCTGGTGTTGTGTGTCGTGAACATATGCCTGTTTGGGACTGCTGAAGAAGCATTTGTGCAGGAATACACTGTCACTCCGTGGTCAAGCTGTATATGCTATATGTCAGCCACCAAGCGTTGCGCGCTGGGCGATTATCAGGAATCGAGGACAGCATCGATATGTCCGGACTTCAACTGCTTACGTTGCCCAGGCAGTGTGTGCCTGGAGTAATGACGAGAAGCGTCTCGTGTCCGGCGGGCGTTACATGTCAGGACAGCGTAAAGTTTTAAAGTGTTGCAGAGAGTCAGACGCACTTGTGCAGCTGAAGCCCGTTCCCGGAGCAAAAGGAGCCGAAGCCTTCGTCAGCACAGTCTTGCGTTTGCAAGCACTGCTCGGACTGCGACGTGCTTGTCTTTGCGCAAGCCTCAGAGAGCCGAGTTCCCGCGCATGTGTCCATGGTCACTTCCTCGTCCAAACTAAATCCTCCGTGAAACGGCAATGACTTAGGGGATAGATCCTTTCCCGAAGTGTGTTTTGTGCCTCGCCTCCCTGTCCCTTGCCGTTTGTAGTTCTCCAGCCGCATCTTGGTTTCGTGATTCGAGCCAAAGTCAAACGCATTCTCCAACCCTGTTTGCCAGTTGGCAGACTGTCTTCTTGATGCTTCGTGTTCGGTAGATGACGTTTCTCAATTATACTTCAAGCCGGACCCAAAGCAGAAAGTTAGTCATGTCGCCGAGGGACGGAAGAAGCGAGTGACTAGTTCTCCAAGTCTTCATGACCTTGGGAAAAGTTGCTATGATCACCTATCCCGTGGAGAAGAGGATTTGCTCTCGGAAGCTCTGTCATGATTTGCTCTTGTCCTGGGCTCCCAAGCGAAGACACTTCCATCGTTCATGGACCCAGTTGCTCTCTGGCATCGGTTCCACGGGGCTCCCCTCCTGAAGGACTCACGATAGACTCTAGGGCAGGCGTGGTCGGCCTGCGACTGAAAAAGGACATGGGAGGGAAGGGCCGGACGACCCTTGCTGCAACTCCATGCTCACCACTGTCACATCGAGCCTGGATCAGTCTGTCGCTTTCTCACTGTAAGCAGTTCGATGTCTATTCGTCAAGTCTCCAACGAGTCCCCGAAGGTCCTCGCAACTGCTGCGGCATACTGTGCGACGGGCCTGGTCGCGTTTCTGCTTTGGTTGGGGTTCGTCATGGTCGCCCAACTGGAAGAGGTCGGGAGATTTTTTGCTAGCCCACCTCCTTCCGACTTTCGTCACGTGGGTGCTGCAGGATGATTACACGGAGATGTCCTGCGGCCTGAAATGCGCTTGGCTCAGATGCTTGTGCCAGATGTTTGACGGCTGAATGCTGCTAGCGCCAAGCAGCGCTGCCGAGGTTTAGGCTGCTTCTGCAAGTTCCTTCCCATCGTGACAAAGAGCCTTGACATGCAAAGATACAAAGTTGCAGAGTTTGCGGTGGCTACCTTGAGTGCACCGGCAGCTGGCTATGCTGAGGATCATGACTTATGCAACAATGCTTCTCATTATCGTGCTCGTAGTGACGGCGTGTAGCTCAGATCGTCTTGCCAGCATGATGTTGTCAGGCATAGTCGTGGTCGTGCGCTGCCACTCGAGCATTGCAGCTCCCGGCTGAAGCATGTTACTTCATCCACCCGGGGCAAGACACCGCGGACCTTTGTACGAAACGACGGCATTGGATGCCTGCTCGCCCAGCCAAACACACCCATCAAGGAAGTCACAGAACAAGCAAGGAGAGAGACGCAAGAACCGTGCTGCACTGGTAGCAAGTCGCCTTTCGGCGCTTCTCCCTTGAGCGCCTCGACAGCCTCGGCTGGATATTCTTGCGTGGGGTTGTGAGGGCCAGGGGGGGCCTTGGACTCCTTGGACGGGCACAGTGAGCACACTGCAGATCAGAGAGAAATGACTCAGACGCCAATGATGAAAACAGGCACTGGTGCCAATTGGTGAGCTTTACTCCGATTGCAAGGGCAGCACGTCCTTCACCCAATTAGTTCAAGACTCAGCTTCGCGGGCAAACAAGGGCAAGTTGCAGTCTTGTCCCCGTGGAGGCCATCGGTGGCATTGTGGTTTGGGTCGGTTCCCTAGAGTTTCCGACCTACAGATTCTCTGCCGGACGGAAGTCGCGGGCTCGGAATCCAGTTTAAGGTGGTGCAGCTCATCGTCGGCGTGTACATGCACCGCAACAAGCTTGGCGCCTAAGAATCGGCTACTATCGGTCAGCCGACGGAGCTAATTCCGTCTCTTGCATAGGGAGGCGGACACCGGACTGTGGTCACATGAACGAGGCCCATGCCACCGTGGCTGCACACTGCGCAGTCATCTGGCGCAACCTGGCGGCAGAGCGTTCTGACATCTCTACACATCAAGCCATGTGAGCGCACATGTGCCTAACTTATGTGCAGTGTGCAGACTGCAACCAGTCACTCCATGTGCAAGGCACTGAAGCTCATTTGCAAGCCACTGAATGCAGTGGGACCGTGACATGCTCGCGTAGAGGAGTACCTGCAGCTGAAGACACACACAGTCAACATCAGCATCGTTTGTCACTTTAGTTAGTTAACAGTCAGCTCAACACGAGTATACATGACATATCAAAGTTAGTTGTATGTAATTATGTATGTATGCATGCGTGTATGCATGTATGCACTACATGCCTGTGTACCTGCTTGCCTGCCTGCCTGCCCGCCCGCCTGCCTGCCTGCCTGCCTGGCTGTATGTATGTATGCATGCATGCATACATGCATGCATGTATGTATGTATGTACTGTATGTATGTTTGTTTGTGTTGTATTGCATTTATTGTATTGTATTGTATTGTATTGTATTGTATTGTATTGTATTGTATTGTATTGCTTTGTATCACATTGCATTGCATTGCATTGCATTGCATTGCATTGCATTGCATTGCATGTATGTATGTACGTAGGTATGTATGTATGTATGTATGTATGTAGGTATGTATGTATGTTTTATAGAACCAGTCTTCTGCATCTAAGTCTAAATCTATACCTGCACCCACACCTATGTCCATCTCCATATCTTAATGCATATCTAAGCTATGTCTATATCGATATCCATACCTTTATCTATGTCGATATGTCTACATATGTTTCTATGTGCATATCCATATCTTTATGTGTATCTATACCTACATCTATATTGATATCTATATCAATATCTATAATATCAAGCTTTGTATCTATGTCTATATGGCTATCGATATCTGTATCTATTTCCGTATCTATCCATATCCATATCCATCTGTCTCTCTCTTTCTCTGTCTATGTATATGTATGCATTTCCAGAATCTCCACCCATACAGAATATATATATTTATATACACATGTGTTTGTTTGTTTATTCATACGTATACACATGCATATGTACATGTATATGCGTGCGCATATGTCCATATACATACATGAATGGTGTGTACAGACACATACGACAGACAGAGTGTAAAAGACTTTCACGCACAGCTGCAAGTATTCTGTGTAGATAGGCCCGACGGTGAGCAGGATTCGCAAAAGAGGATCCTGAGTTCGCGCTTTCAAGAAGCGGGACGGACAAACAAGAGTGTTGTTGCGGCCAAGGCGGGCTACAGATGGCAGGGACACATTGCGCATGTGGCGAGGGCCTGGGAGCTGCCTGACCGTTCACCCAAGAGTTGCGGATGCAGACAGCACCACCTGCATCCTTGCTGGCCGTTGGCGCGAAGTGCTGTCCGACACATGTCATGGAACGAGTTTACCAAGCTACGTCAAGCCCTCTTTCGCGGCTGAACAGTGGGCAAGCTGTCAACTCCCTGTAGAGTGTGTGCAGGGATAAAAGTGTCTCAACAAAGCGGGCACTTGCAGAGCTGCAAGATGAGCCTCAGCATTCGGCAATGGCATCGGCGTCTTCTGCTCAGCGCGGGCATGCTGATGCTGGCTTGCATGCGGCAGGACGCACGGGTGCACGCGTGCTGCACGCGTGTATGAGTTGTGGGCTCGTGCATGCGAGACACACTCCGAACCACAGTGCCGAGGAGACCATGTTCCTGACGGCCTCGCCTTCCGGCAGGGACCGCGTAATCTTAAGGCAGCGCGGCAAGGCATGGCATCAGAGAGTGAAGCTGGCATCTGCCTGTCGCAGGGCACGGATACCACCTGAAGCTGATCCTAGCATTCCGCCGGATGCCCTGAGCATTCATCGCGCTTGCTCGCAAAGCTGCTCAGCCATCTTTTCGCTTGACCTGGCCCTGGCTTGCCTTCATGCCGAGGTGGCATCCACTCATGAGGAAGGGCAGGCCCATTCCCAGACGCTTTGCCGTTTGCATCTGCGTGATCTCCTTTGATCTGTCGTCAAGCGTTTCAATCTGTGCGAGGCCGCATGGCCCCATCAGGCTTCCTGCCTCATTCGAGGCAATTTTGCGGGTGCCTGCTAGCAGTGAGAGGCAGATGTGTCAAATGCACCGACGTGGAGGCTCTGCGATCACTCCGAGTATTCAAGGCACCCAGGCGCGCTTCTCTCAAAGCAGCGGGGCGAAGTTGCAACATCAGGATCTGCACGGGTGTGATGCTAGGTTGAATGCCGATCTGTTCCCAGAGCGTGTTGTTCAGAAGGCCAGTTGAATTCGACATTGGTTGCCGGCAAGTGTCGTTGCATGCAGTGACAGGGAACCCACTTCTCAGTCGAGGACAGCAGTGGATTTTCGATCAAAGGCTTCAGTCACCGCGTCGGCGCACACGATGTCAGCCGCGCAGTGGAGGAAGTGGCGTACGATGGGCAGGTCAGAGGGCAGCCAGTGGCTTGTCAGCAACTTCTGTCCGATGTCGTGAGTTTTGACATACTTCGCCGTCATACGCTGCGCACAGAGCCAAGCAGTGATCTTAGATTAATGTGTGTGTGTGTGCACCTCTTGCTCAGATTTTCTTCCTGAAGCCGAAGAGGGTAGGAAGCTCAGCAGATCCGTGCAGCAACCAGTGCCTGGCAGAGTAGACTGGCAGGTCTTCTACAAGGCCAACAGAAATCTTCCCGATGATGGGGAGGTTCATCGTGGAGATGCAGCATGTTACGATCTGCATGCCGTGTCGGAAAAGGACTACGGTGAGGGAGGTTGGCTGTGTGGCGTTGGCACGGAGAAGGGCGCCTGGTTCACGAGGAGATCACGGTATGAGCGCCCACCTGCGATTTTTGACAAGTCGAAGTCTGTTGAGTTCGATTGAGTGCCACTGTGTTACATCAGCAGCATGTGTGTGCATAAATGACAGTACACAGGTAGATGTGCATGGTTGGATGGATGGAGGATGCATGGATGGACAGACGGACAGCAGGATGGATGGATGGATGGATTGTATTGCATTGCATTGTATTGTATTGCCGCATCATATAGCATCGTATGCTATGGTATGGTATTGCATGGCATGGTGTGATATGGTATGGTATTGTATAGTATGGTATGGTATTATGTCGCCTCGTACCATATAATCTTGTACGTTCCATCATATGCACGTGCACTCATACATACAGATGCACGCACAGATTCACATCTGTTTGTGTCTGCCTTCATCTTTGTCCTTTCAGGGTTGTTCATGTGCAATGTGATTTCCGTGCTTTACTAGAGGGGCGAGTGCAGCGACGCTGGCTTGGGGTTGTGACAAATTTCGGCAGCAGTTTGCACGGCTGCAGGAAGCTGGTGAGGCGGCTGAAGTTCTAGCCTCAAGCAAAAAGGCAAGGGGTTTGCTTCACTGCCAGTATACAGCAAAGACGCATGCGGTGACGAAGCCCAGCGTGGTGTGACTGCTCACTGCAATTGCCAAATAAATGCTTCGGCTGGCAGCTAGAGGCAATACAAGCAAGGCGTTCAACAAGTTTTTGCTTTTCCTCGTGATACACGTTCTCCAGGTTAGCTTCTCATGCAAACATGACAGCAGCATCAGCAGCATACGCTGATCAGCTCCTGGCGTTTCTGCCATATCGCAATGGACGCTGTTGCTTCGACCTGAGACCGCCGATAGCCAGAAGAGACCCCTCGAAAGCCGATGAACCAATGAGCCCGGCCTGTGCAGCTTCCAGGTTTACAAGAACCGCGAGCGTCAGCGCATCTTGCTGCAGGATTTTCAGTGGGAGTGGCTGGGTGCTGGCTCTTGTTCTTTGAGTGGGAGTGCCTGTTGTGAGATGAGAGGCACAGGGCCACAGGGCTCTTTTCTTGCTTTCGTTGAGAGGCTGTCGCCTGCGGCCGAGTTGGCTCAAGGACTTCATAGCCTTGTTTCGTTCGGCCGACATCTTGCCACGGACTCGAGACATGGAAGCTGAACTGCTCGTCAACGCAGTGTGACATTGGTGCATGATGAGGTAGCAAAGTGAGTTTCTCAGGTCGGAATCATGGCCATGGCTGCCATGGTTCGCAGGAGCCGTGCTCAGATCAGAGTGCGGAGATTCAGCATTGGGAGCCCGGTGATTGATTCGATGTAGTCTACGTAGCTACATGGCATCAAGCTGCAGTCGTGCGTGGTTTGCAGGTCCTTGGGGCACCGCTTCCCGGTTCGCAGCTTTGCTGCTATGGCGGACTCCTCAGTTAGCTGATCCACGCCGCGGGCCCCCCCCCCCGGCCCCCACGGACACCCGATGCCACAAGGCTCAGCCTCAGACGTTCGCCATCTACCGTGCCTTGCCAAGCAGTTAAATCTGTGGCCAGTGGCCGGGGCCTATGCTCGTAGCCGAGTCGTATCCTGAGGATATGACCCAGACAAGCAGGCCAAGCCTTTCTTGCAGGAGCTGGTTTGTCCTTTTTGGGGATTCCCTTCTCGCATTATGTGCTGTGTCGGGCTCGCAGGACTACATCATTGACCTCAAGGTGTTGGTTATGCAAAGCAGCACATGAGACCTCATGCACCATTTACTCAGCCACTTGTTCACGTCGTTGCAGACGCATGCCCTGCCCGGGAAGGCTTGTGGCCCAATGATTCTTGACGCGTTGATCAAGATCAAGGATGAGGCCCGTTTGTAAATCGAGCAGAAGCGCCTTGTGGAATATGGTCCTTTCTGGGACGGGGCAAGGTCGACACCACGCTCACCTTCCGCAGGCCTTTTTCAACAGCTGCTGCCGAAAGAGATCAGCAAATTCCAATTGTCTTGCATGATCCTGCCGTCCGCGCAGATCCTGCCGCGAGGGCATCTGCGGCTCCTGCGCTGGGTTCTCAGCAAGTCTCACGCCAGTGGGAGTTCGGGGGCGGGAGATCGCGGAAGGCCATGAACATCAACGGGAAGAACGGCCTCGCGTGTTTGCTTTACATCGAGCCCAGCCCGGCTGCCATCGAGATTCAGCCCCTGCCGCACACCTATGTCGTGAAGGAGAGTGAGAGAGAGCGCATGAGAGTGCTGGGGTGCCGGTGTCCATCTTGGGATGTGCAGGACCTTGTGCCCGACCTCACGAACTTCTACAATCAGTGCACCTTTGGACAAAGGGGGGGACTCCCATGGAAGGGTGCTCACGCGACCCTGCCAGGTACAAGTCAATCGAGCCCTGGCTGAAGCGGAAGGAGAGACAAGAAGCGACTGGTTAAAAGCAGGAAGCACTTGATTGCAAATGCGGCAGGACACGAAGGCCAAGGATGAGAAGGACTCCGAGTCGTCAATGTGGTGCGAAGTCATCGCTGTGCATGCGCTCCTGAGAGCAATCATTGTATTCCCCATGGACTACAACATGTAAACACATCCACTGAGTCCGCGCTCCCAGATGTAGCTCTGTAGCCGTGCCCCCTTCCGTCAGGAGTACTTCCAGAGCCGCGAGGACCAGCTGTGAAGCCTGGGACAGCCGCTGACTGCTTGCCGTCCTTTGCCGCTACAGCTTTGGTAATGTTGCTCGGCTTCTGCTGCGGCTACTTTTTTCTTAGAAGAAGAAGCAGTTCGTCGTCGTCGTAGTAGTAGGAGAAGTAGACGTAGTAGTAGTAGTAGTAGTAATAATATTCATTCAGCAGCGTCGCACGGAGTGCCTGTGCTTGACGATGGGCAGGACAGATCGTTGATCCGGCCGCTCTGTGGCGGCTCCACGTTGATTACGTGGATCCTTTCGAAAAACACTACTCTACTGTCTAGTCCATAGCTTCCAGATCGATAACCTCAACATCCTTGGACGACAAAGAATTTCGATCAGCTTGACTCGTCTGCTGTTCAGTCTCCCCCAAAGAAGAACCGGGTGGAGCTGGTTCATTCAAAGGCCCAGTCGAAGGTGCTGCAGTGGCATTTGCATTGACTGTCGAAGTAGCAAGGTCTGCCACAGCCCATTCCTGCCTATCGAAGCATGCATGGCTGTGGAAGCGGCCGTGCCCATGCTTGCAATCCGAACAGCAGTAAAGATGGCCATGGCTTGCCCAGCGCCAGCATCCATGCGTAGCACATGTGCTGACCTTGCCTCGCTGCAGAGCCTTTTGCAACTTGTCACACTTCGATGTATGAGCACCGCACGTACAGAGTGAGCAGCAATGTCTATGCCGGCTTTTCACAAACTGACGACGGCATCCTGGCTCCATACAGGTTTTGTACGCAATGGCCCGACCATCCCGACATGGGGACGGCTGGCCATTGCCACCACCATTGCCCGCCTCCAGACCTATGGAGGACGAGCTCACCGTCTCTGCCATCGCCGAGGCCTAAGTCAGCAAATGGGCAGACGGATATAAAAAGAAGAATAAATGATGAAGAAAACCTCATGCACTGATCTGCACCCAGAACGCCGCTCCCACTGTACAAGATATAAAACGCGTGTGCGAATAGTCAGAGAGAGTTCAATTCAGCACATGCCCCGCCAATGTTCACAGAGCAATGGTTGGCAGCAGTTGCGGAGTCGTGGCTGTCGGCCCATGCCGAACAGGCAGCATGAAACCCAAGTTTTCAAGAGTGCGCTGCATAGGTTCCGCGAGCTGCCTCCAATTGCGCACCGTGTACGCCACCAGCGTGAATCGGTTGTAGTGTCCCCAGGCCTGTGTCGCATGTCGTCTATGGTGCGCTGGAAAAACGAGAAATTGATCCTGCAAACTGTAAACTCGACCTCGCAAAATTTTGTCACCATCTTCCATGTAATGCGAACCCTCTTCATCTTGTATCCATAAGCCGCCCTGTTCGGTGGTGCTGAGCAGGGCAACCAAGTTCGGTTCCGGTCCATTAGCCACATCCAGATGCACAGGAGAATCATAGTCCAGATGTATGGCAATCGTGGTCCACGTTAAACCCGAACAAAGATGCAAAACAAAGGAGTTTAACAAACGACAAACATTGCTGAATGGAAAGGTCTCCTTACAGATTCCAACCAGCTGTTGTCGCCCATAGATGCCAACTGTGAAACTGCGAGCCCTGGATGAAGTAACACTCCGATGCCTAGGCAGCTCAAAAGGAAGCTCACAAGTAACCTGTCGGACTGCTTCCCACAAGGAGCAGCTGCCTTGATGAAGTCGATTTGGACGCCATGGACTAGTATCGTGTTGCCCTAAAGGATTCGCCAC